CGGTAAAGTCACGTAATGCGTGTCAGCTCCCAAGTAAAACCTTGCAGACGATTACCCGGTCACAAACATTCGCTTTTGACCGAATGTCTTACACTTTCCTTGAACACGGATTTGCAGATTCACTTTACTTAAATGCATTGCCCCTGACCGAATTCACCTGGGTGATGCTTTTACAGAACCGTCTTGCTTGTCATGGCAGCATTCGAATTTTCCCCTATACCCTTCAATTTGCCATTTAACACAAAGTAATGGACTGGACCGGAGTATGAAAGTCGTAAATTATGATCTGCTTTAAAGCGAAGTTTTTAATCTTAAAAGAGGCCATTTCATCTCCCCGCAGGGCTAAACCTCTCCAATTTCTAAACCGCTGCGAGTGTGGCGAGATCGAGGGGTTTTTCTTGCTTCTGTAATTTAGACTGAGAAATCACTTCCCTGCGGGGGTTGGTTTGCAGAAAATTGGAAACTTAGCGGCTACTTATTGCTTCGACTAGACTTGATTAACGATATCTCGATACAGTTTAACACGCGCGGCGGAGGGCGTGGGAGCCATGCAAAGCCCGGCTAATGTCCCTCCTGTTCCGCGAGTCGCGTCCACTCACGCCGCCCACTGACAGAGACCCCGTGGCCCTGTAATCATCACCCGCGGCTCTCCAATCCACCCCGCGCGCCCATCCTCCTCTATGCTGCGGCTCTGCATGCGCTCGAACGGACGTGTGAGATGAACATTAGCACTGGTTCGCGCGAGTGACGCCTGCTATGCACGCGAATTTAGATTTGTTTGGACACGGGGAGTTGCTCTGCCACTGGACTGTGAGGGGCTACAGTCGCTGGACTTGGGTATAAGAGCTCAAGGCGCAGCCCTGCAATTGCCTGCTCACACCACTGTTGCCACAAGAGCCCCCCCCCCCCACCACATGGAGCTCTAGACAGCCGCTACTAGAGGGAATTCGGCCTACATTTCCACTCTGGCCATACGTCTTGGGAAAATCCGGAGCACCCACACTTTACCCCACCACACGTGAGCTGCCCATCGACTCACTGGGGTGCGCCCACGTAGAGCGCTGGGCGGACAGAGGCCGAGGGATTCAATAAACTTGCACCCTAGTTGCAACTGCCACACCGGGAGATCGAACCCGCGCTGTCTGGACTGCGCTTGCAGGATGCGAACCGCTGCACCGTGGGGCTTGGTGCAGGACGCGCGCTGCTGGGGAGTTGCTTCGACCGTGAATAGCTGGCTGCGTGTGAACGGATATAACTTCACCGTAGCAATGTACACTGTTGTTATTGCCATATAGGAAAGCACGTGTAGCAGTTTGCAATTTCCTTGACAACATATACCCACGTTACTGTCGACGTAAGCATGTATTGCGGCGTTAGAGTAGTTCCTTACTGCGGTGGACTGCGTGCTAAGCGTTGTTGTGAATCACGCTTCCTCGTGGCTGGGTTGTTGCTCCCTTCGCACATCCATCAGCTCTCCGCCTGACAACCTTCATGGGCTCCGGCCTCACGCGGGGATCGATTTTACCGCTCCACCTTCTCGGTGGTGGACGACCTCTCGGTACGCGTCCCCTCCATTGGCTGCCACTCCACTTGCCTGACCTTACACGCAAGGTGCTTGTCCGACAGACAGTGGCCCAGCAAATGTAGCCGCTCGCAAACCTCCAATTAGCCCGGTTGGCTACGTACGGTGCGAAAGAAGCCCAAATTGAGCGCTTTGCCAGAGTGACTTTGTGCAAGTATTGGGACACGAGATCATTAGTTTATTTATTTCTTATTGACCAGATATTTCACCTGGCTAATCACTTCAGATGGAACATCTCATTTTTGCCAAGAGTGGCCAGGGTCTCGATTGACACACACACACGTGTACCTTTAAGACGTCTTCACCATTCACGTGTTTGCTGCACGATGCATTTAAGAGAGTGTTGGGGCTGTTAGCGAGTAGCACCTATGAAGGCCGACACGACATACGCGGGGGTGGGGGGCCAGCACCACGCCCGGCCGCCTTTGTCTCCCCAGTGGCGATGTTTACACACCGCACCAACTACTCATTTGAGGTTGAGTCCGGATTGGACAGGTTTATGACACAAACTGAAACGAACCAATTCGTTCAGGCGGTTTATTATATTGTTGTAAAACAAGGTTACAGTTTGTATCGGGACTTCAGCATTAGCAAGATTAATTAGAATCCATTACCAATATCAAGTACAATCCGTTACCAAGATTAATTGTAATCCGTCACCAATATTATTTGTAATCCGTTAACCAAGATCAATTGTAATCCGTTACCAAGATTAATTGTAATCCGTTACCTCCTAGCTGGCAACATTTCACGAAGAGCGACGTTCGCTACTCGAGGAGAATTCTATGAGCAGGGGAAAGGCGATATCCATAAACCGTATGCCACATATATACAAGATCACGCTCAGCTTCGGCAATTAACTTCACGAATATAATCTATATTTTTCTAATATGACTCATTTGCAATCAATTAGTATGATCAATTATTGATCTATAACGCACTCAAACAATCCATATCATGTCGAGCACCTGACGGTGCACACAGCCTCACACTGCCCGACAGAGGGACGCGATACAACAGGTGACGTTTTAGAGAAGTGTCCATCACCTCGCCGATTATACACCGTTACTGTGTTGAATTCGGACAACGCTATTGACACATGTGTTGGGTTTGTGTTATTTGTGCCTGTGTACCACTGCCAATGCAATATCACAAAAACGATGGAGTCTGTTCATGCTCACAGGCCGATGTCGTAAGCAAGCAGACTGCTCACCAGAAGAGGGAAGCGCATTATCTTAGCCGCCCAGTCCACACTCAGTGTGTGGCACATCGCTGGGTGTCCATTAGCACAGTTGGCTACGTACGGTGCGAAAGAAGCTCAATGTACCGACGTACAGACAGACATACGTCTCCAGCAGACGCGTGCTCTCTTCAGAGGTGGCCACGTTACCAAGCCGCTCTTCACGCAGCACCGTCCGCCTGAATCGTGTCCATCACAAAGCCACCACCACCACCACCACCACGACCACCACCACCACGACCACCACCACCACCACGACCACCACCACCACCACGACCACCACCACGACCACCACCACCACCACGACCACCACCACGACCACGCGCGCACTCACGCACGCGGCAAACGTCGCGGACCCATCGGAGCGGAAATCCTGCCTGCCAAGTCACGATTCTATTCACGACAAGCAGGCGGTTGTAAATGTACGCATGAAACCCAAATCTAATTCTAGATTTAAAGTTTTCGTGACTGCAAGGATCCATACTCTTTGGTTTGTTTCGGTAAAGTCACGTAGGTGAAAACAAAATAAAATAAAAATATATCAACTAAATTAAATCACGACGTTTCGGAAGCAACACAAGCGTACGCGACAGTAAGTTTGTGGCTGGAGCAGTCACACCTGATGACGAAGGCTTGTGTAGCCTCCGAAACGTCGTGATTTAATTGAGTTGTTTTATTTCACCTACGTGACTTTACCGAAAAACCAAGAGTACCAAATGTAACCCCACAAACCTACAGACATCACAAGCCCCTCCTGGCCTCCACGTACACCAGCGGCGTCATTTTCAAACACAAACCATTGTCATCAGTCCCGCAAGGAATGTGTGATTTCCCCCAACTGGGTCAAGACCGTGAACGGGAGGTGATCACTGCCCTGCAGTCAACGAAGCAGGAAACCCGTGGACTCGAGCCGACAAAACGTGTGCGTACGCATTCTGCACGGGCACGTCGATTGTGCCCACTCCCAGAGGCGCACTTCACATAAACACAAAGACAAAGATCCCCCGTGTGGCCTTAACAGACTGTTCGCGCAAGTGCTGTTAGCGAGCACCTATGAAGGCCGGCACGGCACACGAGGGGGTGGTTGGCCAACACCACGCCCGGCCGCCTTTGTCTCCCTAGTTGCGATGTTTACACACCGCATCAGGTACTCATTTGAGGCTGAATCGGCCTAGGGGAGGCCCAGGACCGGTTCAGATAATCGTCACCGGTGTTGGCCGTGAGCGGGATCGAACTCGGGTCGCCAGGTTCGTAGTGCAGCGTAGCACTAACCGCTACACCACCGCTACATTAACACACACCTGTACCTCGCATGCAAACCTCACGCTGAAATAACCTAAGAGTATAGTCTCGACTCCTTATATGGGCAAGCACACGCCCCAGATATAATTTGTTGGTAATGACACATCGTCCAATAATCACACATCTTTGCAGATATCTCGTGTTATTGCTTTGCTTTACAGCGGCCAATCAATGCGTCATCGGGCGGCTGTGGTGGTGGTGCTCGTTCGGCAGAGCCAGGGAGAGTGGTGGCACACTCAATAGGTGTCACTTGCTTGGGCACAAAGGCACATTTTTCACATTCTATTATTGCGCGAATAAATGTGGTCAGGTGCTAAATGCCAATTTCGAGGTCTGCTAGCCACGAGAGCCTCCAGGAGAGAGTTTGTGTCGTTTGACTATTTCTCATTATTCTGCTACGCGTGCATCATCAAATCACCCCTTCTGCCCATCATCTAATCATTTCACTGAAGGACGGATGGAGCCATCGAACGATCCTCCACCTCAATGAACACGTCTGTCACCTTCACACAGCCACCGCGTGTGATTGGCTGGCGTGGTCACGGCTCGCGTGTGATTGGCTGGCGTGGTCACGGCTCGCGTGTGATTGGCTGGCGTGGTCACGGCTCGCGTGTGATTGGCTGGCGTGGTCACGGCTCGCGTGTGATTGGCTGGCGTGGTCACGGCTCGCGTGTGATTTGATTGGCTGGCGTGGTCACGGCTCGCGTGTGATTGGCTGGCGTGGTCACGGCTCGCGTGTGATTGGCTGGCGTGGTCACGGCTCGCGTGTGATTGGCTGGCGTGGTCACGGCTCGCGTGTGATTGGCTGGCGTGGTCACGGCTCTCGCGTGTGATTGGCTGGAGTGGTCACGGCTCGCGTGTGATTGGCTGGCGTGGTCACGGCTCTCGCGTGTGATTGGCTGGCGTGGTCACGGCTCGCGTGTGATTGGCTGGCGTGGTCACGGCTCTCGCACGTGATTGGCTGGCGTGGCCCCGACACTGCTTCTCACTGCAGCGACTCTCGATTCCGACTTACCGCCACCCAATTTTCCTATCGATTTCGACTCCTGGTCTCGACTACGATTTCGACTCCAGACAAATTTGCGATTCCGAATCGGTGGCGCAACGAGCAGCGGGCAGAGAGAGCGGGGGCGACGGACGAGACCGGCCACAACATCAGCGGGTACAGCCACAACCACAACATCAGCCACAGCGCTCACAGCCACAACCTCAGCGGGTACAACAACAACCACAGCCACAGAGCTCACAGCCACAACCTCAGCGGGTACAGCAACAACCACAGCGCTCACAACCACAGAGGGTACCACCACAACCACCGCGCTCACAACACTCACAGCCATAACCACAGCGCTCACAACCACAACGGGTAACGGCCACAACGCTCATAACCACAACGCTCACAGCCACAACGCTCACAGCCACAACGCTCACAACAACAACGCTCACAACCACAACGCTCACAACAACAACCACAACGCTCACAGCCACAGCGCTCACAGCAACGGCCAATCCACAACCACAGTGGGTAACGGCCACAACGCTCACAACAACGGCCACAACCACAACGGGTAACTGCCACAACGCTCACAACCACAATGCTCACAACAACGGCCACAACGCTCACGACCACATCAGGTAGAGCCACAGCGTCTGTAGCAGCAGCAGCAGTCGCGACGTGCATCTTGTGATACGTGACGTGCTGTGTGTTGACGTGGTGTGTGTTGACGTGGTGTGTGTTGACGTGGTGCGTGTTGACGTGGTGCGTGGTGTGTGTTGACGTGGTGTGTGTTGACGTGGTGCGTGGTGTGTGTTGACGTGGTGTGTGTTGACGTGGTGCGTGTTGACGTGGTGCGTGGTGTGTGTTGACGTGGTGTGTGTTGACGTGGTGCGTGGTGTGTGTTGACGTGCTGTGTGTTGACGTGGTGTGTGTTGACGTGGTGTGTGTTGACGTGGTGCGTGTTGACGTGGTGCGTGGTGTGTGTTGACGTGGTGTGTGTTGACGTGGTGCGTGCTGTGTGTTGACGTGGTGTGTGTTGACGTGGTGCGTGTTGACGTGGTGCGTGGTGTGTGTTGACGTGGTGTGTGTTGACGTGGTGCGTGGTGTGTGTTGACGTGGTGTGTGTTGACGTGCTGCGTGGTGCGTGTTGACGTGGTGTGTGTTGACGTGGTGCGTGGTGTGTGTTGACGTGGTGTGTGTTGACGTGGTGTGTGTTGACGTGGTGCGTGGTGCGTGTTGACGTGGTGTGTGTTGACGTGGTGCGTGGTGTGTGTTGACGTGGTGTGTGTTGACGTGGTGTGTGTTGACGTGGTGCGTGGTGCGTGTTGACGTGGTGTGTGTTGACGTGGTGCGTGGTGTGTGTTGACGTGGTGTGTGTTGACGTGCGTGGTGCGTGTGTGTGTGAGTGGTGTGTGTTGACGTGGTGCGTGGTGTGTGTTGACGTGGTGTGTGTGACGTGGTGCGTGGTGTGTTGACGTGGTGTGTGTTGACGTGCTGCGTGGTGCGTGTTGACGTGGTGTGTTGACGTGGTGCGTGGTGTGTGTTGACGTGGTGTGTGTTGACGTGGTGTGTGTGACGTGGTGGTGGTGCGTGTGACGTGGTGTGTGTTGACGTGGTGCGTGGTGTGTGTTGACGTGGTGTGTGTTGACGTGGTGCGTGGTGTGTGTTGACGTGGTGTGTGTGACGTGGGCGTGGTGTGTGTTGACGTGGTGGTGTGTTGACGTGCTGCGTGGTGGTGTTGACGTGGTGTGTTGACGTGGTGCGGTGTGTGTTGACGTGGTGTGTGTTGACGGGTGGTGTGTTGACGTGTGTGTGGTGCGTGTTGACGTGGTGTGTGTTGACGTGGTGCGTGGTGTGTGTTGACGTGGTGTGTGTTGACGTGCTGCGTGGTGTGTATTGACGTGGTGCGTGTTGACGTGGTGTGTGTTGACGTGGTGCGTGGTGTGTGTTGACGTGGTGCGTGGTGTGTTGACGTGCTGCGTGTTGACGTGGTGTGTGTTGACGTGGTGTGTGTTGACGTGCTGCGTGTTGACGTGGTGTGTGTTGACGTGGTGTGTGTTGACGTGCTGCGTGGTGTGTGTTGACGTGGTGTGTGTTGACGTGGTGTGTGTTGACGTGGTGCGTGGTGTGTGAGGAGCCCGGTGTGTGTGTGCTCGTGCTTACAGAGGCGAGTCGGTGTGCTGCTGGGGTTGCTCTTTCAGCGCATCTCCAGAGGAGGGTGGCACGAGCAGGGGATGGGAGATGCGTGTTGATGTGGGGAGATGCGTGTTGATGTGGGGAGATGCGTGGTGATGTTGGGAGATGCGTGTTGATGTGGGGAGATGCGTGTTGATGTGGGGAGATGCGTGGTGATGTTGGGAGATGCGTGGTGATGTGGGGAGATGCGTGTTGATGTGGGGAGATGCGTGGAGGGGTGTGCACACGTGTGGGTGGGTTGGGGTCGAGGTGTGTAGGGGTGCGGTGGGCTTCGCTGGTGTATACCGACAGGGGCATGGTGGAGTGTGGTGGTGGTGGCGTAGGGGCGGATACGTGGCCAAGAGCGGTCCATGTTGGGATGTCGTGAGGGTCGTGGGGCCTAGTTGAGTTGCGACTCGTGTTGGTCGAGTTGGGGTTCGCTGATGGGTTGAGTCTGTGGTCGTGGTGGTGGAGTGGTGGTGGTGGAGTGGTGGTGGTGGAATGGTGATGGTGGTGGTGATCGTGGTGGTGGTGGTGATCGTGGTGGTGGTGGAGTGGGGCCCGTGTCAACGCGCACTGTTCACCATCACGGGGCCCGCTGGTGTGGGGGTGATGATGATGGTGAGGATGATGGTAATGATGGCGATGATGGTGAGGATGATGAGGAGCGGTGTGAGTGCGCATTGTGCGGCTGTGCCGGGCAGTGCTGGCAGCGGCTGTCCCCGTCGTCGCGTGTGAGTGGAACAAAGGAGAGAGGCCGATGCCGCGTCTCCCGCTGCGGCTGTGGCTGTGGCGGGGCACGGGTCTCTGGGCACGGGGCCTCGTGTGTGTCGGGGCTCGGGGCACGGGGCCTCGTGTGTGTCGGGGCTCTGGGCACGGGGCACGGGGCCTCGTGTGTGTCGGGGCTCTGCCTGGTCGGGATGACCGGGACGAGACGTCCCTCTGTGGACACTGCGTGGGGTCGTGTTGATGCAGAGACGGCCAACTCGCCACACTGGGGGAGAAGCCACACGGTTTCACTGAGGGCGGCTGCCCGGGTTCTAACCCAGGCCTCCTCCTCCGTGGTCGTCAGCTCAGGGCTCTGATCTGCGAGCCGCCAACCCGTTTGTGTGTCTCTAATGAGCCAACACATGTACAGCCATTACTGAGGCTACGCGTTCAAGATAAGTGTCGTCAGTATGTCCCAACGTGACTGGTAGTCGATGAGCAGTGGCTATATGAGCAGGCGCCCAGCAGGCGACTAGTATTGATGGACCCGAGTCGCCAACAGCAGCAGCAGCAGCATCAGCAGCAGCATCAGCAGTAGCAGCATCATCATCAGCAGCATCAGCATCATCAGCAGCATCATCAGCAGCATCAGCAGCAGCATAGCATCAGCAGCAGCATAGCATCAGCAGTAGCAGCATCATCAGTAGCATCATCAGCAGTATCAGCAGCAGCATAGCATCAGCAGTAGCAGCAGCAGCATCAGCAGCAGCAGAGGGGCCCACAGCTGCGTCGTGAGCGGCTCATTCCGTACCCGGCGACCATCTCCCGTGTGTGGCGTTGCTGTGACACATGGACACGGTGGTGTGTGCACTGTATGGGGGTGCAGCGGTGGGTGACGTTGATTGTGTCGTCAACTCAAAATCCCTGAGCTCGAGTCGCGGCCGCGGCTGACAACAGCGGCGAGGGATGTCTGAACCGGTTCCAGGCCTCCTTGTATCCATCCGTTGATTGACAAAGGGCTGTGTACGCTTTGCATTGTTCATTGCCATTCACAATGAATATCTGCTAGACTTGATTAGGAATCTGTATCAACCTGGCATGAATCCTGTGAACCATCATGTGTTTCGTACTGCTGATACAATGCGCGCTCCCTGGAGAGTCGATTGATTTTTTTATGAACGAATCGATTCATTTTAAACATTGCGGTGGGTGGTAGCACCCCGAGTGTACCTGCAGCGGTGTCCTAAACTCGGCGAATAGAACAAACGAATCGAAAAAAAGAAACACATGCGATCGCTGGCGGTGTCTGCTCCTGGGTCCTTAAGTCTGCTCCAGGGTGAACATCTTTGTCTTGACATCGGACACCTGACGATTTAATCAATGATGTTTGGATTTACCTTTCCTGTGGTCACAGCTGTACATCACATACAGTATATCACACACACACACACACGGACAACGTAGTTTTATTCGTATTCGTGCATCACTGTGGATGACATTGGTGGAAGTGATAGTAAGTAAATCAGTCAATTGCAGTGACGAGGCGCGTGTATGCACGGTTTCATTTCTACATTCCTGTACGCCTCCTTCTCCTCCTCCTTCTGTATAGCGGCATATGCAAGCCCCTGCTGTTCTGCGGAGAACAAAGAAATGCAATTTGAGTAAACTAAAGATTTAATGAAGGAAGATGCTTTGACACCTTGTCACAATAGTTATTCGCATTACCAATTTTCTTCTGGTTGTGAATGCAGAGCAGTGAAATTAAAGAGTAGAGGTTTAATTGATAAACGTGGAGTTTATGAACGGTGTGTTATCATCATTCACATGTTGTGTGAACCTGCCAGAAGGTAGCCTTAGAGCGGCTGTGGTGGCCTTAAGAACAATACCCGTGACATTTCATCATTGGTTTTGTTATTCTTCCTGCCGTGATGTAATGATTAGCACACCAAACTTGCGATTCAGAGGTTCCTAGTTCTCAAAGCCTCCTGCCTTTCTCCACCCAGCAGTGTTTATGGTTTTGAAAATTGGAGTGTTGCACAAATCTGTAGGAATTAAGACAAAAAAATCTCAAGTTTTAAAGGGTTTTATTTTTCTGGATAGAGAGCTGCCTGAATTAAAGCTCTCTCCAGACAATAAAAGAAATTGATAATCCGCAGCAAGTCACAATGATGCATTATTGAAGAGTATTCATTAATAAATCAAAACCGTTGACTAACAAGGGCAAAACATGACTGAAGGTTTTCGTGGCTGCAGGAACTCATATTCTTTGGGTCAGGATGACGACCGCTTGTGTTGCGATCGAAACGACGTAGCTTTTGTTATTTTATTTGAACCTCTCTACGTGACTTTACCGAAAGACCTAAAGAATAAGGGCAAAACACTTC